TTCGGATATACTTTGCGCGACGAACGACTATATATTGGTCCCGCAAAAATTTGCGCGACGAATCATATATTCGTCCCGCAAAGTCGTAATTTTTTTTTTTTTAAATTCCCATTTTTGGTACTCGCCAAATTTTTAGCGTATACTTTGCGCGACGAACTACTATATATTAGTCTCGCAAAGTCGTAAAAAAAATTCTCATTTTTGGTACCCACCCAAATTTTTAGAGTATACTTTGCGCGACGAATTATTATATTGGTCGCGCAAAGTCTTAAAAAAAATTTAGACCTACTAATAAATATATATATTATTCAATTTCTTAAGTGTTATACGTACAAAATAAACAAATTTAAAGCTACTCAACGATCCAACCGTCAAACATGTTTGTTTATAATTCGAGATTGTATACGCCAAAATTCGGAAAAAATAAACATTAAGAGATCAAGTAATGGGACAAAACATTTCGACGGTTATAAAAGAAAAATCAAGATTTAACGGTGATTTCAACTCTGATTTTGATGATTTTTTACAGCTATACTCCTTGACCCTATATGAATACAATGAGTGCATTCGATCGTCAATTTAAAATATTGACACTAGTGGATACCACAAAATCTTATGTTATATTTAATGAAAGTATAAATAAACTCTTAATTGTTAGTGAATATATTGTTTTGATGGCATACACATTCTATGAAACTAGTTTCAATGATCCAACCATCAAACTTATTTGTTTACACATCGAGATCATATACGCCAAAAATCGGGAATTTTTTTTTTCTTCAGAAATCAAGTAACGGGACTAAACATTTTGATGGTTATAAACGAAAAATCAAGATTTAACGGTTATTTCAACTCTGATTTTGATGATTTTTTACAGCTACACTCCTTGACCCTATATGAATACAATGACTGCATTCGATCGTCAATTTAAAATATTTACACTAGTGGATACCACAAAATCTTATGTTATATTTAATGAAAGTTTACTCTTAATTGTTAGTGAATATATTGTTTTGATGGCATATGTATTCTATGAAACTAGTTTCAACAATCCAACCGTCAAACTTGTTTGTTTATACTTCGAGATCGTATACCCTAAAAATCAGAAAAAATAAACATTCAAAGATCACGTAATGGGACAAAACTTTTCGATGGTTATAAACAAAAATCACGATTTTACGGTTATTTTAACTCCGATTTTGATGATTTTTTTACAGCTACACTCCTTGAACCTATATGAATACAATGACTCAATTTGATCTTCAATTTAAAAAATTTACACTAGTAGATACCACAAAATCTTATGTTATATTTAATAAAAAGTATAAATAAACTCTTAATTGTTAGTGAATATATTGGTTTGATGGCATACGCATTCTACGAAACTAGTTTCAAAGATCCAACCATCAAACTTGTGTGTTTATACTTCGAGATCATATACACCAAAAATCGGAAAAAATAAACATTCAGAGATCAAGTAATAGGACAAAAATTTTCGACGGTTATAAATGAAAAATCACGATTTAACGGTTATTTCAATTTCGATTTTGATGATTTTTTACAGCTACACTCCTTGAACCTATACGAATACAATGACTCAATTTGATCTTCAATTTAAAAAATTTACACTAGTAGATACCACAAAATCTTATGTTATATTTAATAAAAAGTATAAATAAACTCTTAATTGTTAGTGAATATATTGTTTTGATGGCATACACATTCTACGAAACTAGTTTCAACGATCCAACCGACAAATTTGTTTGTTTACACTTCGAGATCATATACGCCAAAAATCGGAAAAAATAAACATTCAGAGATCAAGTAATAGGACAAAACTTTTCGACGGTTATAAACGAAAAATCACGATTTAACGGTTATTTCAACTCTGATTTTGATGATTTTTTACAGCTACACTCCTTGAACCTATATGAATACAATGACTCAATTTGATCTTCAATTTAAAATATTTACACTAGTGGATACCACAAAATCTTATGTTACATTTAACAAAAGTATAAATAAACTCTTAATTGTTAGTGAATATATTGTTTTGATGGCATACACATTCTACGAAACTAATTTCAACAATCCAACCGTCAAACCAACACCAAAGGCCCGAAACTGAAATTTTGCATATTCGGATTATCAATAGAACAATGGTGCAATGTTTAATAATTAAATTGGAAAGTTTAATAAAATTAACAGATTTTTCATATTTTTAATAGGGGTACAATTGAGAAACTAAACAAAATTTGTTTTCCATTCCTACTCAAAACAAACATGGGAAAGGAAATAAAGTGATATTTCCGGGTTACTTTCCCAGCATTATCAAACATGAAAAAGGAATCACCATTTCCCATCCCTTAGGAAATGACTTGGGAAATGATTTCCCATCAAATCCGTTCCGTGAATCAAACGGGGCCTTAGAGCTCCGATGGAATCTTTAGGGCTCTAAAGGCATCTTTCCTACAATGGGAGGCCCTATATTCATGGCGGTTTTTTATTTATTTATGATGTAATTTGATTTACGTGGGTTTTTTTTTTATAACTATTTTACTTTAATGTTTGTTCATGTTATTTTAGTTTTTTTTTTGGTGAACATTTCAACCAAAAAAAAAAAAATCAAAATTTAAACAAGATTTGGAAATCAACATTTTATTTCAACTTTGGAAATCAACACAGCTTTTGAAAGAAAAAAGCAGGTCAACATGGTGGCAAACATGCTATTGACAAAAGAAAAAAAAGGCAAGTATGGCTTTGTATAATTGCAAGGCAAGTGAGAGACCAAAAAATGTGGGCTGCAATTTTTCTCCTTGTGGGACCCACTTGAATTTGCAACATTAGGGATGCTTTTTTAAGGAGAGTTTGTATTTATGGGAGTCTTATAGTGGTTGAGACCCAAATAAAGCCCCCATTGGGGATGGCCTAAGTAAACCAGCACCCCTAAAGATCCAAAGCTAAGGCCTCCGAAGTTTGATGGGGAAGAGAGTGCACCCACACATGATAATGCTCAAATTGATGACCTAGTCTTGCAAGAGCATAAGCTAGGAAATTCCTTTAACGCAAAATGTGATGAAAGCTTAGGTGTTCAAACTGATCTTTGCCCAAAGGAAATGTTCTGGCAAACTTGAAACCTTTAGAAATTAGATATTGCAAATCTTTCAATAAAGCATAAACTTCAGCAACCAGAAGAGAGCTTGAACCAATGTTACAAGCCCCAACATAATTAGTAACTAGTAGTAGCATCTCAAAATGCATCGATACTATTACTATTAGTAGTGTGTGACTTATATTTTAGTTTGTCGAAGCACCAAAGCAAGAATTAATATATGGATGAGTTTTAATCGTCATATATCTAAATCAACATGAGTCGTCACTTTCTTAATCGTCATTTCGTCTCTTAATTAGATATAATTATTAAATTGTCACTTCAACTTATTTTAATAGACAATTTGACAAATTCAGTTTTCAGACCGACAAATATCGTATATTATATATACAAAATTAAGCTTTCAGTGATGTCACAGGGTAGAAGGATTTTCCACTTATTTTGTCGCTGGTGGAGATTTCAACTTTCACTAGTTGAATAGCTGGCGTTGAAATTACAGGTACTGTAAGTTAATTTAATGGCGTAATGACATGAAACTCTCGAGTCCAGACTAATCCTTAGTGCCACCATACTCTGTCACATCATATCTATAAGGGATAAATTTTTATAGTTTCTTAGATGTAAATAAAATTCTATTTATTTTCTTAAAGAGAAAGATTGAAGTTTAAATATATGAGGTATGTTTCGTCCTTGCAAATCTAAGGACTTCGAGCCTCTTTATTTAGAGAGTACATATTTATCCTCATTTCATAAAATCTAAAGTATTCAAATCATCTAACGACTTAAAGTAAGCCAAGTCAGCTAAATATGTTTTTTTGCCTTATTAATGATAACGGCATTTGTTACTCATTGTTTTCTCCTCATAACCACCTTCATCGTCATTCTCAATCTTTTTCCTTTTTTTTTTCTAATGAATAATCAGAAATTCCCAACTTGATTATGAGAAATACCAACCTATTTCAAATTACCAAGCTTGCTTCTCAACCGTCTCTGTAATTTACACATATAGAAGGCCACTTCCACAATACCAATTTTATAATAATCCTCCGAATCTCAAATTGGAAGATTTGTTAAGGGATAGGGTGAGGGAATATACCATCATACAAAAAAAAAGAAGATATGAGTGAAATTAAAAATAAATTAATTCATTTTTATAATGAAATGAAATTGGGGATATGGAGGATGGAAATATCTAACTACATGTTAGCCAAATATATTTATGTTCCACAAATTAATACATTATATATAAAAAGGAATAAAATGATTAGTGATTCAACAACATCCATATAATGTCACAACAAATTCTTTAAAAATGAATAAAATTATAGATTTATGTGAGGGATAGGTAAGCAGCAGCCAACCAACATTTTAATCATCAATACTGATGCTACAAACAAGTACGATTATATTTGGAAATTTGAGATTTAATTTATAAAACTATAAAGCAAGCATAAATATTCATCTCTATATAGCAAAAAGTAGAGAATGATAAAACATTTAAAATACTGGAAAATATTCTTTGTTAATGCAAACATAAGAATTAAAATTATTAATTAAATGAGAATAATATGATAAATTCATACTTTTTCATATTAAAAAATAATTAAAAATAAAAATAAAATCATATAATGAGTCCTATTTTTATAGAACAATTGGCAAACGTATGATATGAGTAGACCTGGCATTCGTGTCGTGTTTGCAGTGTTCGTGTCAACCTGCTTTTCTTAACGGGTTGACACGACATGACCCGTTAAGAAAATGGAAAATATCAAACACGAACACGACCCATTACAATTCGCGAATTACACGACACGATTCGTTCCACCCGTTAAGAAAAAAAAACTTAATAAAAAAAGGAAACCAAAACCACTGCGCAGCCGCCCTCTCCTCAATCAACCAACATTAATGGATTATCGGTTAGATCCAAGGTTCAGAACAACATTAATAGATTATGCATACACAAAAATCAAAAATTGAAAATGAGAAAATGGGTTATGATGAAAAAGTGATATAGATTCCAAGGCTTGTGCTCGATTTCATTCATTGGTTGGCAGCCCTAGCCCTCCATCTTCTTCCACAAAAGGTTTGCCATTGATTTCTGTTTTGCACTCTCTTGAGGCAGACTCCACAGCCACCTCCCTTGCCCTTTCAATCACAACCAAAGATAACCCACCATCTATATTTAAAGACAAACCAAGCAAAGGCCACGAATACAGAGGACAACAAAAATCCAAAATAAATCAATTTAAACTGAAAATCAGGAAAGACATCAACTTGAGAGCAAGAAGAAGAGTGAGAGCAATCGTACCTTGAGAGAGGTTTTGAGAAGGGAAGAGAACATTTGACACAGAGATTGCAAGAAGAAGAGCAGATGAGGTTGAGAGAGAAGCTGAAGCGCTGGAGACGCGAAATGAAGAGGGGTAGGTAGGGATTTTAGAATAGTAAATTACGAAATTACCCCCCTTAACGGATGGATTTGTGCATTCGCGAATGAACACCGAAACGACTCGCTAGCTTAATGGGTCAACACGATATCAACACGACACGATAACTAAAACCCGAATACTGAAATTTTTTTACGAATTTATGTCGTATTAACGGGTCGTATACGATATGGCCGAGTCTAGATACGAGCATTATTATTATGTTGAAATAAAATTGACAAGAATGCATATAAAAAGAAAGCATACGCATGAAAGCCAAGGTACTCTTTATTGGTCACTGGACCATCATATATAGTTGGTGGCCTGTAGGTTTGTTTTGTATACTTATTTTTCACGTGACATATAGACTGGGTTTAGGTTCATCGAATACTAGAGGTTTTTCTGGTTGAGCACAGGTTCATATATATCTGCACTAACGAAAATGCTATCAACTGTCAACAAATCAATAATGAGTAGTGTATTAATTCATGTACTAGCGAATGGAATTTTGCCATAAGTGAACACTGAATAGGTCAATTCAATTACAATTATGAAAATAGAAAAGTCGACAATAAAATAAATTCTTACTGCTGTTAATGGTGTAGACTGTAACTTGTACACACCTGATGTGTTCATATAGTACCGCTCAATAATGTAATTTATTTTTGATAAATTACTCATTTTATATTTTTCGGATATATTGATGTTCAGTTCCCTTCTATTGAGGATTCCTAAATACTTTTAGGAAAAAGCTTAGTTCCTTCTTACAACCAATGCGGTTTTTACATGTGTCAAATTATTTTAATGTCATTTTTCTTTTTCTTTTTGTAAACTTCGTCAATATTGCTAGAATTTGATAAGTGTCGAAACCCCATTGGTTTTTAGGAGGAGCTCCTCCTTAATCTTTAAGGAGCTAACCCATGCTCATAATTTTATTTAAGGTCTCCTACGAATATATATATATATATTTTTTTCAACTCTCCAAACTGTCTATTTTTTCAAATCTTCATTCATACATCATCCTTACAAAAAATCATACAAATTGAAAATTCTTAAGTCATCTAATTAAGGACCAACAAAATAGACCAATACTGTGCTTCAAGAAAACACTATAATAACAACCATCTAATTGATTGGCCAAAATGATTTCGGATTCAAGTGATTTTTTTTTTTTTTGAAAAGATGATCTTTGAATGAATATCTATCAAATAAATTGTTTGAATTAGTAAAATACAATGCGGATTGGATGCTACAAAATTGTCCCTCAACTAAAGCTCTCTGTATTAATGTCATTACATCGAATAAAATTAAAGAATTATTTAACAGAGAGAAAAATAGGCCCTGTGTGGCGTTGACAAGGGGGTATAATTAAGAATAAACTATGATACATGTGGGCTTTATATACCGCCTCTCCATGCTGAGATTGCCCCATCAAAGACGCAAAGCTTATCTCGTGAAGCTTTTCTCTGCTTCCTTCCTCTTCCCCTTTATATCCTCCCTTTAATTTCATTATCCTTCTGGCATTCTTCAAAACACTCCCTCTTTCTAATGCTCACCTTAACCACCACTACAACTTGATCAAATCCTTGTGATTCTTTTGGGGCGGGCTTCATCCATATTTTTCCTTATTTTGGGGGCTAGGCAGTCCCTCTTTTGCATGATCCATTTGTTTTTGTTCATTCAGAAAGTATGAGTAACACAATGATCCCAAGAGTGAAGGTCATGGTTTATTTGGTCTACGACCGGGGTTAAACTGGATCCGACCCGTTCACAACTTTTTTGTGTGCCCTTTATTATTTTGTTCATAATACAAAGTAGAATTAGATTTCTCCTTGCAATTAAATTCATGGAAGAGGGTGGTGTTGTGTGTGGTTTTTAAACCCAACATCCATATTCCATATACATCTTCTCTTTCTGTATTCATTGTAATTTCCAGTCATCTTTGGATATGATGAAGGAACAGGGTAAGAAGGGCTTGATAGTCAAAACCTGGGAGCGATGCAAATCAATAGGCCGTGGCCGCAAGATGACTACTACTACTACTATGGTGCCTGCTCTGACAATCAAGAGCAGGTCCTGCCCGCATATCAACCTCGGTGTCCCCGAAAGGGAAGAGAAGCGCGCCAGCAGGCGCCAAGTGGCTCCCGAGGGCTGCTTCTCCGTCTACGTGGGACCCCAAAAGCAAAGGTTCGTGGTGAAAACGGAATATGCAAACCATCCTCTCTTCAAGATGCTACTTGAAGAAGCTGAGTCGGAATTCGGGTACGACAGCCAAGGTCCTCTTGTGCTGCCTTGTAACGTTGAAGTGTTCTACAAGGTGCTTATGGAAATGGACGATTGTGGTAACCCAAAGGTTCCTCAAGGGTGTGGCTTGGCTAAGCGTTATAGCTCTTACAATCTTCTTAGCCCGTCTCGGATGGTTGCTATAAATCAGTTCTGATTATAATGTGTATTAATTTACAAAGACTTGGTGTAGCTTGCTTGGGTTGTATGTATATGCGTTTGAAATAAAAATTTTGTGGGATTTAAGTTTTCTTTAGTCTGTCAAGAACCTTGTTGTAATATAGCGGTTCGTATAAATTTTTGTTTTTGTATTTTGAGCTTTCAGATTCCATCTCAATCATCATGCTGCTTGCAATATGAAGCATAAATTATCATATGCAAATTAGGGGTAATTAAGAAATTGAAGAGACTATATATATAATAGCTAGACAGAGGTTCTTGATAATGTTATAAATAATAGAGATTAGGAGGAAGTCGGTAGCAACTTGCAAACAAGGGGCTAATATATGCTAAAAATAAGTATGTCATCTTCTTGTATACATGATATGATTTGATGAAAAGGGGAAAGAGAAGATCACGAATATTTTAGGTACCAAGCTATACCTGGCTGAACCCTACGTTAATTGACTCCTCGCTACAGTCCAAATGATTCATTACAACTTAATATTATCAAGACAAAGACTGTTTTTGTAATTTGATTAGCCACCTAATTACACCGTAAGTATAGTCTTTCTGAATTTACTAATTTAAGGTCGGTAATACATAGGTGGCCTGGCTGATAGTTATATTTCATTATCTTTCTTTTGCTAAGCTCAGCAGTTTATGAAGGAACCAGGTAAATTAAGTTCTGGTGTGGGTCGGAGACCCGCCGCTTGTTGTGTGCAAGAGGAGAATTGAATTTGTTTAGTGTAAAGTGTCACGTAGTGTTATTAATTTACGTGTTATAATATAAATGAATGACATGATTGATATTTTAATAACCTAAAATATAATATTAGTTGATTGCATGCCGTTCTTCTACTTTAATCAATATAGTTACGCCACTAGTTTTTCTTCTTTTTTACTTTCATTTAAATATTAGTTTTTGTAAGTGAAAGGTGTGATGAATGAGAGAGGATGGAAGAAATGGGAATATCATTTAATAGTAATTATTTCTGTTGGTTTTCGTATGTGTTTGTTTAATTGTATACTAGCCTCTTCGCACGCGCTTCCGCGCCTGCGAGAGGCTTTTTTTTAAAAAATTAAAATTTATTTTAAAATTAAAAAAGATAATGTGTAGTTGTGTTCCATAAAAATATGTCATTATCTGATTTTTCTTTTAATTTTAATTTTTTTAAATATGAAAAAATGTGAATTTACCATATTATCATCATTTAATTAATAATTTCAATTCTTAATGTTTGCATTAACCAAGGGCATTTTCTGGTATTTTGAATGTTTCATCATTCTCTGCCATTTGCTTTATATATATAGATAATCATTTACAGCTGGTACTTCGTTATAACTTATATATAACTTGGGTTGGGTATGAACTCAGCAAATTGGAAGTGTTTTAATTAACAATCTCGTTGAATATTTGTGTTTAATTTTAATTAGCCTCTCTGCACGTGCTTCCGCGCCTGTGAGAGGCTCTTTTTAAAAAAATTTAAATTTATTTTAGAATTAAAAAAGATAATGGGTAGTTGTGTTTCATAAAAATATGATCCATTATCTAATTTTTTTTTTATAATAATTTTTTTAATATGAAAAAATGTGAACTTACTATATTATCCTCATTTAATTAATAATTTCAATTTTTAATATTTGCATTAACCAAAGGCATTTTATGGCATTTTGAATATTTTACTATTCTCTACCTTTTTCTCTGTATATATAGATTAAGTTGGAGAAAAGTTTGTCTTAATTCTTAATTAATCAGCAATAATTTCTAGCTAATGAACCCACTTCACAGTTCAAACACCATTGATAATACGTGTACTACAATCCCATATTCATTATGTCACCACCACGCATGCCATTCATCAAAGTTGACATTAGATTTTCTTTATTTATTTTTATTTTTATTCTTCTTCTCATTTTGTTTGGTTGTGCTAGAATACGTGGTTCAGAGCCTGGTGGACTTAGTAAACCCATTTCTTTAATAACAATAATGCTTTTGCTTTTTTGTTTTGTTTTTGTCAAAACAAACGTTTTTAATTTACTCACTCTATAGTTTGTCAAAACAAACGTTTTCAAATATATTTCAGTTTTTAGTTTATGTTTTCACTTTTGTTACTCCTCTCTCCCATTCTTCCATCTCATGTTCCCTTTCAATTCAATCTTCACTCTTATTCTCACGTCCATTCTCTCTCTTTTTCCTCTATTCTCTAGTACAAAAAAAGGAAAACTAAAAACTAAAATTAAAATAGTTATCAAACGACCCTAAAGTTTTGCTTTATGTATTCCTTTGCTTTCAGAGAATGACATTTGATGCCCTGCACAACCGGGTACTGCTCTATCCGTTCACTAAATTGATATGGATATGTTTCCTTATCGAAATTTTTTATTTGTTTGTAGGGTAGAAGTCCACGGATAGGAACTTGACTACTTGCCAAAAGCAAACGTCCCGAAACAGCTTAATTTCATTGGAAGACATTTCTCAAGCGGTAAGATGCATGGAGTGCTTGGTCTAATATGTTTATACTCTGAACAATTTTATCTGAAAAATTCAAAACACAACTAT